TACTTAATACTTTGATTTACTGTATATTATTATTAACAACTACTGCCAAAGATATATTTGATCCCCAAACATGCTTTTAAACATCTCCTGTATAGGCGAAAAGCCGGTACCACCTCACTAACGGACTGCCAAGTGATCCCCCCAAGATCTCATCCGGACATGGATTGAAAAATTCGTCTCTGTGATCTAATTCACACAAACTTGGATCTTAAGCGATATGGGCTCACGATTTTCTGTTTTCCATCTGGCAGGCGATTCGTTGCGCTTAGAGGCATTTGGCAAAAATGTAAACAGATACTCATTGTGCTCATTTCTCAGAAGCAATTCTATAGAGAAAATGATTTAGCCAAGGCAATTTGAGTTAAGTAAAATAAACATTTAAATATTTTGTTTATTTTCGTTCGAAGAGACACTAAAGTGTTTTCCTTCGGAGATTTTAAGAAGTTGTTGGAATGTTTATAAAAAACTCCTTATACTCCTGAACCTTATATAGCATGGAATTTGAAATACATTAATTAAAACTGTATGTAGAACGGGACATTAAAAAAGCTACAATACATTGTTGGACATGTCAAGTCTTTAGATATTCCTTTCTATGGGTTACTATTTTTTAATTAAGTATTCTTCGACGTCTGTTTAGTTCATATTCATTTACAGTATGTTTTTTTTATATATTTGTTCTGATTTGTAAGTTCTGCGTCTATTTATGGTACTGGATCCGAACGGTGTCATTTAAACACAATATTTGAAAAAGATTAGTAGAAATTCGTAGTGAAAATACAAAAAATATCTTAAGAAATGACATAGGCAAAAGACAGGTATAATTTTTCCTTGTACACAGTAGATTATCAGTATTAAGTGTCATATATTTACAATATCTTAGTATAATGGTCTTTGCACTGTTATCTCATATGGTGCAAATATTTTTATTTATATGCTTTTTCATTTTGGAGAAATGTCAGAGACATTCGACAGTGAAACGAGAAGATATAATTGTAACAGTATTTAATATATGTTCCGTTAAAATGTGTGCCAACTTGTATATAAATTTATTGTCTGATAAATTCGCATATAATTTATTTTAAATTTATAAAAAATGCTTTTAGAAAACTCACTATATTATATTATCTTTATATACTGTAGTAACATAGCAAAAACTTATTATTCGTTTTGTTTCATGCAACATGATATTAAAATTTGGTGAGTAATTATTTTGAAAATATAAATGTATTCTTGCATGTGACTCATTAGTGAGTTTTATTCGATTCGAAATTTTACCTTTTTATTTTTTCGTAAACATATTGTAAACATTTTGTACCACTATCCTCGATCTGGGAACAATAATACTAAATGTTTCCGACTTCTACTGGATATTTACCTATGGAAGTCATTGTTAGAAAAAAAAAAGAAATACAGACTTTTCTTGCTTCTTTTTTTTCTTATTTCTGAACTCATCTTCCTGTTACAGTGGACGTCAACTCTGCTTCAGGTAGATGATTTTTTCCTATTGGTAGCTATATTTAATATTCTTGGGGGTGGGTAGGTGTCTATAGATATAGATTCAACCCTTCTCCACATTAACCGACCCAAAATTCTTCTTACTTACTTACAACAATGAGAGGCTGATGCACATGCAGATCCTCCATATATGTATCTTACGGCTTGTCAGTAGTTAGTTTTCGGATAGCTGTGACAGTAGTCCTCCAGCTCACCCCTATCTACAAGTTTTTTTCTCCCAACTCGTACACATACAGTTAAGTAAGTAGCGAGCAGAACCTCAACGACAGCCACTGCGACATATTTGCCTTTTAGGAGTGCTAGGTACTTGCCCTTTCGACATGACGTCTGAGGAACTCTGACGCACTCACAGATAAAAAGTCAGAGAGAAATAATTCTTGACACTATAAATCCGGTTATAAAATACCGGATATAAAATACCGATCATTAATTAGCTTACATGTTGTCCGGATCTGTATCCCCTTGAGCAGGAAAAAATCGACGGTTAATATTCCACAAAGGTAATGGAACGAATATTGTGGCATTATATAAAGAACTGAAAAATGATAGTGTGTTAAATCTAAAAGATCAAGAAATGGTGGAAGAGGAACAGCAATGAAGCTTATACAAAAAAGATACTGCAGGAAAGTAATTTTTTGTTGAGATTCATGAAATAATCCAAGTATCTAGCAAATTGTTTAAGTGCAAAAAATGCAATTTTTTTCTAAATTTATCGTCCTCCTCCTCCTCCTCAGTCCTAATCCCTTTTGGAATGTGGTGACACAATCAGTTCTTTACAGTTTTTTCGCAATTTCCCTTCATCCTTCCCTGTCGTGGGCTAGTTGTTCGGTTTCATGGAACCCTTGGTTAATCAATATTTTTGTTTGATCTATCCAACGGCTTGGAGATTTTTCCCTAGGTCTCTTTCCTTCAACTCGAGTGATTTTTTAATTATTTCTTACGAATATAGATTGAACAATAAGGGGGAGAGTGTGCATCCTTGCCTTAGACCTCTTTTTATCCCTACTTCCTCCGAAAGTTCTTTGCCTACTCTGACTTTTGCTGTTTGGTTAAAGTAGAGATGAGTTATTATTCTTAAGTATTTTTTGTCAATGTGTTTATCGTTAAGTAACTGTATAAGACGGTTGTGTCGGACCTTATCGAACGCCTTATTGTAATCAGTAAAACAAACATAGAGTGGTTGGTTTACATCCATACATTTTTGCATGAGGACGTTATCCAAATAATGCCTCTCGTGTACCCATGGCATGCCTAAATCCAAATTGGGTTTCAGTGACGTCTTGTTCCACTTTTCTAAAAATTCTTAAATGGATAATTTTTAAAAATATTTTTAGTGTATGACTCAATAGATTAATTATGCGGTGGTCTTTACATTCCCTTGCATTAGTTTTTTTGGCAATGTCGTAAATGTTGATTTGAGCCAATCTCTCGGAATAATACCCGTATTATATATGTATAGTATTATATAAGTCTACTAATACATTGATCTGATCTTCTGATATTAATTTAATTATTTCAGTTGGATAGTGTCAGGCCCCGCAGTTTTTTTAGATTTTGTCAGCATTATTGCATGTATTATTTCAACCTTAGTTATATTTGGACCTATATCATGTTCCTCGCAATCGTTCATGCTATCTTGTTGTGTCCTGTCGTCCTCAAACAATTCTTGGACTGTTTAGTTTGCCTTTGATATCAGATATTATTTTACCATTCGTATCAACCAGGGTGTTACTATTGTTGGACCGTCTTATACCTGCTAATTCTTTAATTTTTTTGTGCAAGTCAAAACTATCATGATTTCTCTGGAGTTCTTCTATCTCAAACATTTGTCGTTGTACTACTTCTCTTTAGCTGCCCGTTTTTTTATCCTGATCTCCTTGTGTGTGGCTTTGTATTCGTTTACATTTTTGTTTTTGTATGATGTTATTTTGTCCATTAGTTGCCAGATCTCATCTGTCATCCATGGAGTCTTAGCTTCATCGATTTTGTGACCACTCAGTGTATCTTTAATTTGCATTATTAATGTGTTCTTAAATATTTCCCATTTTTCGTTGGAATCTTCATTATCAATGATTATTGTTCTGCTTAACTCTTCGTTAACTTTTAACGTTAGTTCTCCTTTTATATTCGGGTGTTTTAGCAGAGTGCTTATTTGTTGTGTCTTTTGTTAATTTTTTTTCTTAAGTGGATTTAGAATTTTACGATTACTGGATTGTGGTCTGATGACACATCTGTTCCTGGATATGTCTTTGCCGATTTGATGTAGTCACGGTATCTCCTATTGATAAGGATATAATCTATCTGGTTTCTGATAATTTTTTCTTTGCTATCCGCACATGATTTCCATGTATATAATCTACGTGGTGGTAACCAAAAGAATGTATTTGTCACTATCATTTCAAACTTCTGACAAAATTCCGTCAGTCTTTTCTCATTTTTCGTTTCTTATTCCTAGTCCGAATTCACGGATAATGTCTTGTAATTTACCTATTCTTAATTTGGCATTAAAATCCCCCATTGTTATTGTTATATCTCTATTATTGGTGCTGTCTAGTGCTTTTTTGATGTCATTGTAGAACTCTTCTATTTCATTTTCATCTTTGTCTGCAGTGGGGGCGTACACCTGTATGATATTAAGAGTTCTATGCCATGTTTGGGCTGTAATCATTAACACTCTCTCCGATATAGAAACAAAACAAGTTACAGCCTGGCAAAAACTGCGATCAACCACTATCGCGACGCCATTATAGTGGTGAATATCTTCATTTCCTGAGTAGTATATTTTGGCACCGTCGACTTCGCCAGATCTAGGCCATCTGGTCTCGCTAAGGATGAAAAAGGATACATTCCTTTAATTTGGAGTTCTTATCTTCTACCAACACAATGTTCAACTCTTCCGGATGCAGATCTATGCCAGTTTAGATTTCATTATCTTTAAAGAATATTCTTTTCGCCCTTCACGCTGTAGGTTGTTAAACCAGTAACATAGCCACTATGCTACGGTCGCCACTTTTAGAATGTAATAGAATGCCATTTCAATTCATAATATTGAAGATGGTAAGCAGAGTTTATATTAATAGGCTTTGATAGTCACTGGATACATGTTCGTCTTGATTTCTTGTAGTACAACTTCTAAACCACAAACCCAAAAATGAACGAATATAATCACAAAAACTATGTCTTATCTAATTATGATTTAAAAATACACCCGTATAAGTAAAAAATGATTATTTTTCAGTCAGGTCATATTACTTTAAACTTTAAATGACGTCTCTCACAAAATTCCACGATAATATCACGGCAAACAAGTCTTACATTTTCTTGCCCCCTTATTTGTTTCGCCTAAGTGACAATACCCGTACTAAACTTTAAAAAATCGACTTCACTTATTTTCTTCAAGTTCTATATCTAGTTTATTATTACTACATATATGTTTTTACTATGTTAAATGTAGATATACTAATCCTATGTTTTTTTTTCAGGCGCAAGAACCTCTAACAAAAATTTATCGAACTGATCCAGTTTAATGAAACGGAGTGAAACCTTAGACCAATTTTTTCTTCTGTCCAAAGATCCACGAAGGCATTTTCAAACCTCTAGTTTTATACAAAGACTGAGTCAATGACATATTTCTCAAAGAATACTCATCATTGATGTACGATTGCAAGGTTGCCTTTTAAGTTTAAGGCGTTGTTAACACTTCTGTTATTATTTATTTTCTTCAAATTTTATTTTTGAAAGTTAGATTAGAAGACAACCTTGCGAAAAATTGGAGTTTTGAAAAGTATATTTATTATGATATACATTAAATTGAAGTCGAAGAATTAATTTTTGTGATTATAATAATTATACTATACCTTAATTGTCTCTCACCAAAGTGTAGAGTATGCCTGTATAGATGCAATAGATAAAGAAACTTAAAGTAAGAACATTTCTAATACCGATGAAAATTGCTGTTCGAAAGTATTTAAAAATTTGCAGGATTGCAAATAGTACCAAATTAATAATTTTGAATAGAAAATACATCACACTTACATCACTCTGATTGTGTGTGTTTAACTAATTGTACATTTTAAAAACTTTAACGTTTATTATGTTTCTAGTCTAATTTATTAGTTTAAATCGAATATGCCAATTGTTCCGAACGGATGTTCCAAAGATCAAACGGTTACAGTGAACATCAAAATTTTAGTGTAATACAGTATATAAAGAATTTCATCAAGATTTATTCAAATATACGTACAAGATGTTCCATAACTTGTACTTACTAATATATTATTTTTTTATAATCTCAAGCTCCCCAATTCTGGATGTATAGGGTCTCAGGGTAGATTTTAGTTTTTAAATAAAGAAAACTCGGTTTCAGTACCTGTTAGAAAAACATGTGTTAATAAAATAGACGGATTTTATTTCTTAAACAACACGTCGGTTAGATGTTGCCCACCTCCGCTTGTAAAACTTTTGCAATTTGCTCACACATATCCACTAGGATGTTGTTAATAGCGTTGCGAATGTTTTGCCTTAGCTTTTCAGTAGTGGCTGGTGGTTTAGGGTATCTTGGAGGAAAACGTATATCGCCATTTTGTGAAATTAGTGTGTCTGGAAATATTTCTGTCAAGGCGTTTATTGCAGTGTTCGTCGTGGGTGGCGTAGCATCATTTTTTTTAACTATATGTTCCCTGCAGTATGCGCTAGAAAATTAACCAATTCTAGACGTAGCCAATTTTGCAAAGTGGCAGTGTATAGTGCACTGTTAACAGTTACAAATAGGGACAGAGTAGGGACAAAGTAGGGACAGATGCAGACATGCCACACGAAATCGTCACCTTTCTTAAATGCAGCTGTTTCTGTTATTGGCTTGACTGAATTTTATAGGGCTGAAAACTTAAATCCTTTAAAATACTCAGAATACTAGGCACTAGACAAATTAAACGCTTGTGCATATTAGGGAAGTAAACGCCGAAGATTATTATTGACAGCACGTCGAACTCTCTCAATATTAGAAGGAATTCGAATAGTTTTTGGATTGCCTGTATGTTTTACATTTGTAACAAGTCCGCCTTCTCTACATTTCTTTACCCATACTTGCACTAATCTCGCGGATCGTAAGTCACTCACGCGTCTAATAGTGTACCGCGCACAAAAACGCTGCCGAGCGACTGTATAAGAATTGTTGGCTTTAAAATAAGCCCAACCGCCCATTGTCTCGGCACGGTCGACTACAGGTGAAGTACATTTTCGTGGAATTTCGAGCAGGGTAAGTTTAAATATTAAAATCTACTCTCAGAGACCTTGTATAGTTTCTCAAGATCTTTCCATTCATTCCACACTAGCATTCTCATCCAATGTTTTATTCCAGTTTTAGCTATGTCATCATATTCGCCCTCTCTGATTAAGTATCCCGCCTACCTCCATTCGACGGTAGCTATGCGATTGTCTGCATCTTCTGTTCTTATCTTGTTGCGAATCCACGTGTTTGTTTTCCTGTATTTTGAGTTATTTTAAGGTTTCCAAGCTGCTTTTGTAGAAGACCAGATTTCGGAAGCTTAATTCATAGTAGGGAGAAAGTTTTATGTGAAAACTTCCTATTTTTGTTATATTAAAGTATTTCTGAAGACTGATTTTAACTTGCCGAATACTTATTTTTCTTCTAAAGATGCCTATTCTACATTGCTGTTAGTCTGTAGATAAATAAGGATCAAAATGGTTCATTTTACCACCAAAATCTCCCATAGAAAATCCAAGTTCGACAATAACCACCCACAACTCTTGAACGGCTCATTGGATCATGACGTATGATTGGAAAGGAAACGTAAATGTCATGTTTTGCGTGGTATTTCATTTGAAACGTCACGTTCCATGTCACATGTCGTTGACTCAAGGCAGACTGAACACTGATATAATTCTTATGTGTAGCTTAAGACTCCAAAAATATGACATTTAATGCGAAATGCGTCATAAAATATCACGTTTGACAAAAATGCGACGTCAAACGTCAGGTTTGACAGAAATGCGACTTATTCCATTTCAACGAAACCTCATATATCACGATCTTATGTATTGTTTGAGATCTGTGGGCGTTTCTGTCGAATTTGCTATTTTAGACCTTAAATTTTCTTCTCGAGATTATTAACAAGGTAAAATGACCCATTTTGATCTCGTCGCCCATGAATGAATTGGAAAAGTTGAAAAAATTCCTGCATCTTGATAATTTGATAATTGATTAGGTCATTCCAAGATTATTTTTTAGGAAACTGGATGAATTTCATTTGTTCTTCGCTTATATGATTATTTTTATGGTTATATACTAGTACAACAAGCAGCCGCTATTTTACAAAGAAACATCAAGTCCTGGGCTACTATTAATTCAAATGTCAGTTATTTTAGTGATTATAAGTTTCAGTATGTTTTGTTTCTGTTTCATCTTGAACACATTAGGAGAAGATAAATTTCCATTTTGTTTTCTTTGGCCTGATATGATCATTTTTTGGTTATATACCAATGCAAAGGGCAGCAGCTATTTTGCAAAGAAGTCTATAAAGTCCTGGGTACTATTGATTCGAACTCCATTTATTTTATTTATTATAAGTTTCAATATGTTCGTCCATTACTTCCCCCGCAATTCTACATTCTGCATAAAGAACTTCAGTCAACTTTTGATCAATAAGTTCCGTTCAAAAATAAGTCTTCATTATACAACATGTCCAGCTAATTTACACCTATCAAGAAGACTACAAAAGACTGGGCAAATATTATTAGCAAAAGAAACATAATTTATTGTTTATAATATCAAGTTCTCGAATAAAGCTATATTAAATGTTAAAAATTATTGGAACATTTTGTATGGAATATTTACTACAAGTTCTACTTTATTTACAACATGAGTTAAGATGAAATCATTTTTAGAAGATGGTAGCTTTACATTTTTTTGGTAATTTTTTGTAGCAATATTGTACATTTTGAGAGGAGGTGATATTTTATATAACGATAAAAGGAAGGTTAATAATATATTAGTAGAAACGTTTTGTTTTTTATGCATTTCAGGTTTACTTTTTTTGTTTTGCTTTTCTGGCCATTTTTACCACTATTTGGCTACTATTAGACTGAATTGTACATTGTGAAAAGTTTTATGCAATTTTTTTAAGAAACAGCATAACCACTTTGGTTGTAAAGTATTTCTGCATCGCTTACTCCGCAGAGAAATGAGTTTCTAATTCCAAGTTACATAGGTTGTAACACTTCAGCAGTTGCCTCCTCTCAATTGTCACTTATTACAAACAATTTTGCAATTAAAATAAAATGAAAATAAGTTTGTTAACAATAAAAATAATAGATCGTAGAAATTTATAGCAGTTGCTTTAAAATAGTAAATGCCATTTAATGTGATTTTAGTATAAATTTTAGTTTTTTCAAATGTATGTATATATATTTTTGTGATTTTCTGGCTTGTACGGAATTTTGAAGGAATTTTTGATAAATTTCTTAAATGTTATTTGTATATATACCTATTCTATTGTAGGCAATTTTCTGTACAATTTTTAATATAACATGTACGTTACTTTACACATCCCATTATTTTACTAGGAAATGAAAATCAAAACGTCATTAAATTATATATTTTATTGATACATTATGGTGGCTTAGTCTGTCAAGTTTTAAAACCGGATAATATTCAAACTGTAATATTTTTGTATTTTGTACATAAAGTTTTGTTTATATTGTTTATAAATAAAATTTATAATACCAGTTTAATTCTAGTAAATATAAATCGAACTTTGGCAGACGTACAACACCTTCTGTATCCAAAGTTACTCTTTAGTAATATTTTTAGCTCTAATATTCTGTGATTCCTTTAATTATAATTACATTCATAGGTAACGTTTTTACTGTTTTTTTAAATTATTTATCCTATTTATCTTGGTTATTTTGTTTGTATATTAATTGTAATAATATAAGTACAGAATACGTAAAATAATTTATTTTTAATTTTATTTCCCTTTATAGACCAGTGTCGTAAGCCTTTAACAAAGGTAAAAAGTCAAAAAAAATTATAGTAGAATGAAACCTATTGGAAAAGGAAGATAATATGATAAAAATGGAAGAAAAGATAAATTCCACTCCATCCGAGGTCAGGAAGTGGGAGGGGGTGAGTTTTTAAGGGTAAAAATCGGTTTATCGCGATTTTCGGCGAAACTAAAAGTGCTATGGAAAAAAGTTAAATGGCAAAGTTGTAGGTAACAAAAAGATCTACAACTTTTGTATTTACACTTTTTTCACATAACTTCAAATTTTTTCTGGAAAATTCAAAAAACCAAGTTTTTGATTTTTTTATTTTTATCTTTTACAAAAAAAATTTACGAAATTTGGTGAAAACTTGCCTTATTTAAGCTGGCTAGCAGAAAGTGCCGGGGAGTGACTGCTTGACACTCAAAGGAGAATTCGGCCAATTTACATGCCCTACAGAGACCGTAGAATTAGAAAATGAATGACAAGTTAATAAAAAAATCTATAGGTATATAACTAAGAT